ACAGGACTACTTTATTACTCAAAATACAAAAGATCCTAAATGTTTTTTTCTTCTAGAGAAGCCATTTTGGTAAGTCAGAAAGTAAAGATGAATTCTTTTATCAGTAGTTCTTCTAACTTCATTTCCTTGAATTTAAATGATTTTTATTTGGGTGAAATTTGTTGTCTTTTTTTTTTTTTTTTTTTCTTAAATATTTTTTTAGTTGTAGATGGACACAATATCTTTGTTTATTTATTTTTTATGTGGTGTTGGGGATTGAACCCAGGGTCTCATGCATGTGAGGCAACCGTTCTACCACTGAGCTACAACCCCAGCCCCCACTTTTTTTAAATATTTATTTTTTAGTTGTAGTTGGACACAATACCTTTATTTTATTTATTTTTATGTGGTGCTGAGGATCAAACCCAGGGCCTCTTACATGCTAGGCGAGCACTCTACCGCTGAGCCACAACCCTGGCCCCCTGTTGTCCTTTTTTAATAATATGACTTTTATCCAATGATTTAGCAAACTCTAGATTCTTTTTCTTTTTTTTTTTTTTCTTCTTTTAATAGTCTTTAAGTTGTAGGTGAACACAATACCTTTATTTTATTTATCTTTGTGTGGTGCTGAAGATCAAACCCAGGGCCTCACACATGCGAGATGAGTCCTCTACTGCTTAGCCCCAGCCCCAATTCCTAGATTGTCCGTAAAAAGAAGGAAGAGGGTCAGTTGTGGTAGCGCATGCCTGTAATCCCAGTAGCTTGATAGGCTGAAGCAGGAGGATCTGGAGTTCAAAGCCAGCCTCAGCCACTTAGGGAAGCACCAAGCAACTTAGTGAGATCCTGTCTCTAAATAAAATATTAAAAAGGGCTGGGGATGTTGCTCAATGGTTAAGTGCCCCTGAGTTCAATCCCTGGTATTCATTATTTGCATCTTCTTTTTGAAGTTAAGTAGAAAAGTCTATTACTTTTTAACTGGTATTATATGTATTTTGGGCTTTGGCCAACACTCATTCTGGAGGACTCAACCCAGTATCTTTGGAAGTCATTCTGAATTCAAAGTTACTTTATTTCAGAATAATTATTTAATATATATTCGATGAATAGATATTGATAATAGAGACTATTACTTTGTGTCAGTTTGGATTCCTGTTAAAATTGGAGGTGCCTTAGAGATTACATAGACAAATTTCATGCAGCTATAGTAACCAGAGGTGCAAAGTGCACTGTCCAACATCTGTGGTTAGCAGAGTAATGAATCAATCAAGATGTTTATCTCATAGCAAGAACAGGTGTATGTGTCAGATTGTATGGCAAAGGGGAGTTCATTGCAGTGGAATTAAGATTTCTGGGCTGAGGATGTAGCTCAAGTGGTAGCGCGCTCGCCTGGCATGCGTGCGGCCTGGGTTCGATCCTCAACACTACATACAACCAAAGATGTTGTGTCCGCCGAAAACTAAAAAATAAATAAATAAATAAATACATATTTTTAAAAAACGATTTCTAATCAACTAGCCCTAAGATGAGACTACCCTGTATTGTCTAGTTGGGCCCACTAATCACAAGAATTCTTATAAAGGGAATAGGAAGGAAAGCAAGAGAGTATTTCAGAGTGATGCAGTATGAGGATTCAATCTGCCATTGCTGGTTTTGAAGGTGGAAGGAGGCCAAGAGCCAAAGACTACCAAGAAAACAAATTCTCAGGGCTGGGGCTCGGGCTGGGGCTCAGTGGCAGAGTACTTGCCTGTCATGTGTGGGACACTGGGTTTGATGCTCAGCACCACATACAAAAATAAGCAAATAAAATAAAGTCATGCTGTCCATCTGCAACTACCAAAAAAAAATTTTTTTTTTTAAATCTCTCCTACAATTTACAAAAAGGAATGATCCTGTTAACACCAAATTTGTTTCAGCCCAGTGAGACACCTATAAAGCAGCAAGATAATAAATCTTCATTATTTCAGGTCACAGACTTTGTTACAGCAGCAATAGGAAACTGATACTATCACATACAAATTGAGGCTAAGAGGTCAGGTAACAACTCGAAATTAAGAGCATTTTCCACACAGCACTTAGAAATTCATATCTCCAAAGGGATTAAAAATGTTAATGAGACTTGAAATTTTGGAAACTGATGGTTTTATTTGAAAATAAAATATACCTTTAATAAACGGTAGCTTTGGGCTGGGGTTGTGGCTCAGTGGTGAAGTGCTTGCCTAGTTAATTGTTTGAAATTGTTTATAAAAGCTTCTATATGTCAGGTCTGGAGAATGTAGCTACTCTTGGTGGATCTTCCTCTTGGTGGAGCCTCTGTAACTCTAGGGGGAGCCTTTATGAAGACCAGGCTGTCCAAGAGTACAATGGCAGAATGCTCTGTGCTATCTAGTACAGCAGCCACCAGTCCCATGTGGCTGATGAGCATTTGGAATGTTGCGTGTATCTACATTTTTAATTTAAATACAAGTGATGGTACCTACTGTGTTAGACAGCAGTTCCTAGAATCCTTAAACAAATAGTTTAAGAATTTATCATCACTACAAAATGGTGCTGGTTTAAAAAAAAATAAAGTGCTTCCTAAATTAAATAATTGAAGCCTAAGTTGGACTTTAAAAAGCAAAAAATTCTGAAGCTACACATCCCCAAACAGGAATGCACCCAGGACACAAATGTTATCACAACTTAGCCTTAGCTGTGCTAACTGAGCAACTGAGCATCTGCTTATCTCCTTTGCACCAGCCTACCACCCACGTTGTGAAGAGAAGCCCTTGGGAGATAGCTCCTGGGATTGTATCAGGAGAGTTGCTAGGCTGAGCAAGAATCCTTCTGATTCTAAATTCCCAAAAGAATCTACAAATTAACTGTGATCAAAGGATGATTGTTAGTAATAACACAAAAAGAACTAAGGATGCAAACAAAATCATACCAAGTACACTCAAGATTTTTATCAGATTAATATCAAGTTCAGATTCAGCATTTATGAGGTAAATCATTTGAATTTTTTTATTGCTATGGGAAAAAAACAGGCTGTATGAATTAAATTTCTAGTATTTGAAGTTGTTATGGGTTGAACTATATCCCTTAAGTTATGTTGCAGTCCTAATCCTTAGTGCCTCAGGAGAGTGATTTTATTTAGAAATAGGGTTATTGCAGATGTAAGTTCAGTTCAGGGCTGGGTCTGTAGCTCAGTGGTAGAATGCTTGCCTAGCACATGTAAGGCACAGGGTTCAATCAGCACCACATAAAAATAAATAAAAGGGGCTGGGGATGTGGCTCAAGCAGTAGCGTGCTCGCCTGGCATGTGCACGGCCCTGGGTTCGATCCTCAGCACCACGTACAAATAAAGATGTTGTGTCCGCCGAAAATTAAAAAGTAAATAAATAAATTTTAAAAAATAAAAGGTATTTTGTCCATCTACAATTTAAAAAATTTTTAAAAGATGAGTTCATACTGGAGTAGATTGGGCCTTAAATACTAGGAGTATTTAAAAGGAGGGACAATTGATCATAGTGATATACCTGTAGTCCCAGCTGCTAAAGAGGCTGAGGCGGGAAGATCACTTGACCCCACAAGTTTGAGACCAGCGTGGGCAATATAGGGAGACCTGTCTCAAAAAAAGAGTAGAAAGACACACAGAGTCAAGCACAGTGGTACGTGCCTTTAATCTCAGCAACTTCAGTGGCTTAGGCAGGAGTATCACACATTTAGGCCAGCCTTGGGAACTTAAGGAAGACCTAAGCAAATTAGGGAGATCCGTGTCTCAAAAATAAAAGTGATGGGGGATGTGACTCAGTGATAAAGCATTCCTGGGTTCAATCCTCAATAACAACAAAAAAGAAAGCCATGGAGGCAGACCTTGGAGTGATGCATCTACAAGCCAGGGTTCAGGCAAACAGCAAGATCTAGAAGATGCAAGAAAGGATTCCCCCTAGGAGGAGGTTTCAGAGGGGGGCATGCCCTGCCAACACCTTGATTTCAGCTTTCTAGCCTCTAGAGCTGTGAGACTAGATTTCTGGTTTTGTTGTTGTTTTGTTTTTTTAATTTTTTAAAAAAATATTTTTTAGTTGTTGATGGACCTTTATTTTATTCATTTATTGTTATGTGGTGCTGAGAATTGAACCCAGGGCCTCACAGATGCGAGGCAAGCACTCTACCACTGAGCCATGACCCCAGCCCTAGATTTCTGTTTTAAGCCACCTCAGTTTATAGTAATTTGTTTATAATATCCTTAGGAAAGAAAAGACTACAGAAATGTTAGGGGATCTCATGTTTATTTTTCTACCAAAGGGAAAATGAATAGATGAGAGTACTGAGCATCCTCCAAAAATAGTTTAAGAATTTATCATCACAATTTCCTTTTCTCCTTCATTTTATCCAAATGGTTTAGGATAGAGTGCTTATCAGGACTTTCTTAATTGCTTGCCAATTTGTCTTCCTAGCTACTCTTATAAATTATTTCACTTTCTATCAGTATCAATCTGTTAGAAATACAGATTGTGCTAGGTATTTGCTACAATCGCAGCTGTTTGGGTGGCTGAGGCAGGAGGATCACAGGTTCAAGACTAGCCCCAGCAATTTAGCAAGACCCTATCTCAAAATAAAAAATAAAAAGGGTTGGTGATGTAGCTCTGTGGTAGAGTGGCCCTGGGTTCAGTTTCCAACACAAAAAATAATCAAACAGTTTGCAACCTAAGAATTAACTATTAAGGAAAAAGCGGCTTCTAGCTTTCTTTGGAATCTAAGAAATAATTTAGTCTCTCAAAATTGTTTTTTAGTTACATAACACTTAAACCCTGAAGGTATAATTAATATTGTCAGTATAATTAATATTGTCAGGACTTTCACAATAAGTTTTCAAAATTAGTACCATCCTGTCAACAATCCAAGGTTAGATGGAGGTCATATGAAGTAAGCCAAGTTATCTCCAACTGTAGATTTTTGTTTTCCAACCAGGCCAGAAAAATGCCAAGGATGTGCTCAGGGGATGTGAATAATGTGACCCAAGGCTGGGAAACTTGCCTGAGCTTTACATAGCAAAGAACTAAGGTTAAAGTTCTCAGGGGTTAAGGAAAAACAACTGAAAATTAACAGTGAATTTGACAACCAAAGGGCAATGTCCTCTCTGGGGAAATGTTTCATCAAGATATGAAAAGAATTTGCCACCCAAGTAGAAAGCCATATAAGCTATAGGAACAAAAGAGTAAGTAATTCCCTTGAACCTGAGAGGCAGGAGCCTTTATCTAAGAAAAGAATCTAAAGAAATGGCAGTAATTTCATCATAGTTCGTCTCCCAGCTGGATTGCCACATCCAACCTAGAGGGCAAAACTTCCCACTAGACCTCACTACCTGGTAAGTAAAGGTGGAAGACAATGAGTTCCCTCATATGCCACACTGAGAGGCAGAAGATCATAGCAAGGGAGCCTTGGAAACCTGAGCTTTGCTTAGGCTGGAAGTCAGGATCTAGTGTTGCCTCCTCCAACTAGCTAAGCACATTTCATGCCTAACTGCTTTAGAGCACTTACCAACCCTATCAGTAAAGGAATTATCCACATTTTATTCAGATCAGATATTTGATTCCCAAATTTGTGCTCTTGGCCACAGTTTAACAACTACCTCAAAGTTTTCTTTTCATATGTAATGTAAGGATAATCAACATTCCCCCCCACCTATTCCTTAGCATTGGTAAATAGAGTGACAGTACTTTGGGAGAAAAACAATTGGGGAGAGCTGTACTGGGGATTGAACCTATGGGCATTCAACCTCTGAGCTATATCCCTAGCTTTTTTATTTTTTGAGACAGGGTCTTCCTAATTGCTGAGGCTGGCTTTGGACTCGTGATCCTCCTGCCTCAGTTTTCTGAGTTGATGGGATTAGTTGCCCAGTGCATTGTTTAAACCAATTTGACTTTGGCCAAAACTCTTTAAATTATCTTTATTATTGATACCTAGTCAGAGATTTCATTGACCCCATTGATGGTGAGCTTGACAGCAGCTCAAGAGAAAAGACGTTGATACTGTGTCTCTTTAACCTTAAGCCATAGTCTCTGTAAGTAATAACAATTTGTCTTGTTCAGACTGGTCCCACAATGTTGCCCATACTGGCCTTGAACTCACAATCCTCTAGCCTCCTGAGTAGCTGGGATTACAGGTGTGTATCACCACACTCAACAATTTACTATTTAATTCTGAAAGCCTTAGAACTGGAATTGTTTATAAATATTGTTTATAAGTGTTTGCTCAGAAAGAATACCATTTAGGGGAGCTTTAGGATTTAAGGCTTACAATATACAGTATTAAATACAATAAGTGCATCCATTCATTCATTAAAATGCATTTACTAGCTGGCCAGGTAGCACACCTACAATCCCGGCAGCTCCAGAGGCTGAGGCAGGAAGATCAGGAGTTCAAAGCCAACTTCAGCAACAGCGAGCCGCTAAGCAACTCAGTGAAACCCTGTCTCTAACTAAAATAAAAAAAAACATCTGGGGAGTAGCTCAGTGGTTGAGGGCCCCTGAGTTCAATCCCCAGTACCCTAAATAAATAAATAAAAGGATTCTTTTTTTTTTCTGTCTCTGATAACCATCCCATCCCTAAGTACACCAAGGAATGAAGTAGCTGTGGTGGTAAACAAATGCAGTTTGATTTATCAGTCTGTGTTGTTTATTAAACATTCCACACCACCAGCAATGTAGAGAAGCGCTTCTTGGTTTGCTAAAGATTATGCACTTGGTGCTGGTCAAATATAACAAGTATGTTAATCTATGGTTTTCTATTCTCAACTTCTTGGTGTTTTCTATTCTCAACTTCTGGGTATATACCCCTTTTGCTGCTTTTAGCTAAACTTGACCCTTAACTTACTACAGATGACCTAATTGCTCTTGTTAAAGGCTTAATCACTAGGGATAGTTAAGAGCTCTTTTTGTTTTGTTTTGTTTTGTTTCCTTTCTCTCTCTCTCTCTCTCTCTCTCTCTCTCTCCCTCCCTCCCTCCCTCCCTCTCTCTCTCTCTCTCTCCCCCTCCCTCCCTCCCTCTCTCTCTCTCTCTGTCTCTCTCTCTCTCTCTCTCTCTCTCTCTCTCTCTCTCTTTTAATGTAGTGCTGGGGCTAGAACCAGGGCCTTGAGCATTCTAAGCCTGTTTTCTACCATTGATTTACAACCCCAGCCTATAACTATTCCCCCAGCCTATAACTACTCCACGTATTAAATTTTTTTAAAGGGGCGGGACTGGGGTTGTGGTTCAGCGGTAGAGTGCTTGCCTAGCACATACGAGGCCCTGGGTTGGATCTTCAGCACCACATATAAATAAATGAATAACTTTTTTAAAAAATGGTTTGTACTCCTCTTGTGAGGATGTTAATATTATTAGAATGAATGGTTCAGGACTATAACGTCTGAAAAATGTTTATTTACATAGCAAAGGAAGACTATTTTGCCTGTTACATGACTTCCAGAACTTGGAGCTAGAAGTATTAAATTCAGGTCTTTTTTTTTTTTTTTAACTCATGACCATCAGTAAATTCTTGAACCAGCTGATGTTGTCATTTGCTAAAGGAAATAACTGCCACCTCTCTGAGAGTTGGAGTGAGAATTAAAGGAGATATGTGAAAGTGCTTTATAAACTGTCAAATATCAAACACATGAAGGATTGTAAGAGTAAAAAATAGTGCTTTCCAAAGATTAATCATTTTGAAAACGTTATAAACATAAATTATTGGTTTCCATATTCAAACCATAACAAATTCTTGTAGTCACAATGGGGTGAGTAATTAAAATTTGGGGAAAGATAATAATTTAGCATTTTTAATAGATGTGAAAATACTATTTTCACTTCCCACAGAGGAATATACAACATTTTGGGGTTTTCTGTTTTCCACTGGTACTGGGAATGAACTCGGGGGGCACTTCACCACCAAGCTATATCCCCAATCGCGATCCCCGTCCCCGCCCGCCTTTTTTCTTTCTTTCTTTTTTTTCTTTGATAAATCGCCAAGGCTGGCTTCGAAGATATGATCCTCCTCTCTCAGCCTCCTTAGTCGTGGGACTACAGGTCTGCGCCACCGCGCCGCGCTAGTGTTTTTGATGTTTGTATTTAAAGTCGTCTTAACAATGATTTGCCTAGAAATCCAGCCATTGCCTGGGGATTTTCTTAGGATTAATGGAAGTTAGGACTACCCCTCCCCTCACTCTACCTGTAAAAAATTACCGCTGCCTTTTCCTCCGAGTGCGAGAGAAACTGGGTTCAGATTCCATCCAGCATAATAAACCATGTCAGTGTCGAATCCGATGAGATTCTCCAAACATTTCCAGTCCACTCTGCAGGAGTTACATTCAGTGGAACAGAAGGGTCAGGCAGGTGACAACTTCTAGGTTCCCGATTCCTTTTCCGAGATGCAGTCTTCAGCTTCCCCGACACCGGGAAAGCAGTCCAGCTGCAGGCTGGGCGGGGGTGGACTGTGCAGACCCAAGCCCTGGGCGGTGGACCCCGGCCTGCCAGGCGGGGCTGGGCCTGGGTCGGCGCCCCTCCCCGGGGCGGGGCGCTCGAGGCTCACAGCCTCGCGGAGTCTGGGCAGTCTGCGCCAGGCAATCTAGGCTGCAGCGCCGCCAACCCAGGCGAGATGTATCTCCGCAGGGTGGTCTCAAAGACCTTGGCGCTGCCGTTGAGGGCTCCCCCCAACCCGGCGCCGCTCGGGAAGGACGGTGAGTGCGGGAAGCCCCTGGATCCTCCTGCACCCAGTCCGCCAAACTCGTCCCGGAGCAGCAGAAGGCTGGGTTGGGGGTGCAGGGGAATAAGGGAAAGTTTGGAGGGGACGAGGCTCCAAAGTTCTCGGATGCTTGGGCAGTAGGGAACCTTTCAGCGTGGCCTCTGAATCCGGACTAGGATTTCTGGTTCAAATGTGGACCTCGAGAAAGTGATCTAACCTGTTTTCATCATCCGTTCAGTGGAAACAGTGATAATTGTGAGTTTTTAAAAGTGCCGGCGAACATACTCGTAGCTTACTACTTGTATTGTTATAGGGATCGTTTCGCTCCCGATCTCAGGAGGAAGCAGGATTGGGTGGGAAGGTGGACTCCGCCGCGAGCCAGGCGGCGCGCGGGAGCGAGTGCGGAGAAGTAGACGTGCGTAAAAGCTAAGTCACCAAACCTGGCCGGGCTCGAGAGCCTGAACCCCGCGAGCAGCCTGGCCTCAGCGTCCCCCCCCCCCCCAGAGGAAGAGTGCTTCGGTCGCTTTCCTAAACTAGGTTGCAGATAGGCCTGCGGCTATCCAACTGTTTGGCTCTGGGGTTCAGATATTTTTCATCTTTGGCTTTAGGGATGCGTGAGAAAAGCATGCGATTCCAAAGGGGAGGTTGCAAGGTGGAAGTTGATTAAATAATTATTGACATAAACCGGACGTAGCGGCACACGCCCATCATCCCAGAGACGCAGAAAACTGAAGCAGGGGGTGGCAAGTTCACAGCCAGCCTCAGCAATTTAGCGAGGCCCTGAGCAACTTTGGCAGACTCTGCCTCAAAATAGAAATAAAAAGGGCTGGGGATGCAGCTGAGTGGTAAAGTGCCCCTGGGTTTCGTCCCTGGTACCCCACCCCCCTACAGAGCCTGGAACATAGTAGGTGCTTGACTAGTGAGCAAGCAAGAATCTTCTTTTCACCCTGGCTGCCCCGGGCTCTGGGACAAGATTTGCAGTCCGACCCCCGCCGCCCTTTCCTGGTCCTCAGGCACCTTCCCCGTCGCTGATTGAGGGACGGGGGTTAGACAATCTCATGGAAAGGTCTGGATTCTTTCTTCACTTCGACCCTCCTCCCGAAGCTCCCGAGGCGGCTTTAGCCTGGAGTGTGGATTCGAGGCAGAAAGAGTCTGCGGAAAATTCCATGCGGCCGGTTTGTTGTTGTTGTTGTTGTTGTTTTTTGTTTTTGCGTTTTTCTGTTGTCTTGTTTTTGTTTTTCGGCTTAAATTAGGCGTGTGTTGGTGGAGGAGAGAAGGAGGAAGAAGCTCTACCCAACTAGCTTTATTTTTCTTTTAAAATGCAAGTGCGGGGAAGATGCCCCACAAGCTTCGCTGATCATTATACCTACTACGAGCTATTTTCTCCCATTGGTGAAATGGGGCACAATACCCTTATTTTACACTTCTGAAGATAACGGGCTGTTTTGATGGGGAAGTGAGGAGAAAAATGAGCACCGCCCTCCCGACCTTGACCGTGGCCTTTCAGGTTTTCCCAACCAAACCTCACAAATATACACACCGGTTTTTTGGTAGCTGGTAGAATTCAGAGTGACTTTCTTTCCAAAATGGGGCAAAATAGAAGTAATTGAAAATTCCAAATATATAGTTAGCCATATTGGTAGTAAGAGTCTTTATCTCATCTAATTACTATTTTCTAAGTACTGATTTGTGTTTTAAGAACTATCATGGGTGGAAACCTATTTGTCTTCGGTTATGGACATTAATTAGCCTTTTATTGGTACTTTCTACTTTGATTTTTTAAAAATGAAAGAAATTTTAACTGTCTCATTAAATTTTTTCTCTTCTTTTTGCCTTTAAAAATATAACTTCTTCATGAATAAATCATTTAGATTTATAATAGTTCATTGGGGAAAGACCAGAAAGGCAAAATCTAAACTAAGTCATCTATAATCTTACCACTCAGGGAACATTATTATCTATTTTTCATAGAGTTTTCCAGATCTTTTTTCCCCCTGTGTATTTTTCCTGGAAACAAATCTGGGTAGTTTCATACATAGTATTTTGCTATGAATGTTCATTTAATATGTTGTAAACATTTTCTGCTGGAAGTAAATATTCTTCTGCGAAAGTTATAGATTATTTGTTTCACATTTTATGAAGGTACTAAAACTTGTCTGATTAATTCTATTGAATATTTCCCATTTCTTTGCTATTTCAAATAAGTTTTCAAGTATTTGTCTTCTTAAACCCCTGATAATTTTCTTTATGTCTTTCTATTTAAAAAAAAAAATATTTTTAAGCTAGAGATGTAGCTCAGTGGTAGAGCACTTGTTTAGAATTCATGAGGTCCTGGATTCAATCCCCAATACCAAAAATAAAAAAAAAAATTAACACATTATTACAAATAAAGAAATCTTTTTGAGTCCTAGGGGTATAACTCAATGGTAGAGCATTTGCCTAGCATGCACAGAGCCCTGAGTCTGAACAGAGACATATGGGATTCTTTTCATTGTTCAGGCTAGCCCCAAATTCCTAAACTCAAGCAATCCTCCTGCCTCAACCTCCTCAGCGGATGGGACTACAAAACACTTCACTTGCCAGCTCACAGATATATTTTCAAGCCAACAGCAATCTAGCACAAGCCAAAGCCATAATCTTTTTATTAGTCCCTTGGGCACATTTATATGGAATTATATGGAAATGTTTTTCTCCAATATGGTCTTTTTTTTTTTTGATGCTGGGGATTGAACGTAGGGGTGCTTAACCACTGAGCTATATCTCCAGCCCTTTTTATTTTTTTTTATTTTGAGACAGGGTCTCCATAAGTAGCTAAAGTTAGCCTTGAACTTGTGAGTTGCTGGGAATACAGGCCTTTGCCACCACACATGACCCAAGATGGTCATTTAAATCCAAACAAAGAACACAAACAGGAAGTCATTGTGATTTTGCTACTGTGAAGCTTATAACCCGTAGAGATGTCTTAAGGTTTGCCCTGTACAATTTGGTCTCTCTTGGTCCCTGCGCCCGAGCACTCTCCATTAGGCCACCTCAAATTATTTTGCACTTTCCCAGTTGCCCAATCTCTTGCTTTGCTGTGTTGTGCCTCCTGCCTCCCCATGTCTCCTTTTATTTATCAGAGGAAGGCCCACTTCAAAACTCAGGTGGTGTCTCTTCAATTGTAACAGCTACCTTGAGCCCGCTAGCTCAGTTTTCTTAGCATTTTCATCTGCTTAACATCTATAGCAACTTTAGTCCTACTCTATCGCAATTATTTGTCTGCAGTTATTTGTCTGTACAAGTGTCCCCTTCTTCTAGACTCTGAGCTACTCTTGTTCATAGTTGTGTCCTTGATGCTTCTGACAATTCCTAAGAATTCCAAAGTGCTCAAGTGTATTTGTTGAATGAATACAGAAATGTCTCTATCTCTTCACCTTTAAAATAAAGAATTTGAGCTACATGAAGTTTAAGCTCCTTCCAGCTTTAAGTCCACTGAAAAACTTTCAATTCCAGACCATTAGTGCATATACAAATTCTAGCACTAAAAAATAAATATTTTTAAAAAAATTTTTAAATTGTAGATGGACAAAATACCTGCGTTTTATTGATTTATTTGTATATGGTACTGAGTATCAAACCCAGTGCCTCACATGTGCTCCACCACTGACCTACAACTCCAGCCCCAAAATTAAATTTTAAATATAAAAATAGGCCTGGTGCAGTGGCACACGCCTGTAATCCCAGCAGCTGGGGAGGCTGAGACAGGAGGATTGCGAGTTCAAAGCCAGCCTCAGCAACGGGCAAAGTGCTAAGCAACTCAGTAAGACCCTGTCTCTAAATAAAATACAAACTAGGGCTGGGTAAAAGAGAATAAAATCATAGCATTTGCAGGTAAATTAATGGAGTTGGAGAATATCATGCTAAGTGAAGTAAGCCAATCCCCCCAAAACCAAAGGCCAAATGTCTTCTCTAATATGTGGATGCTGATCCATAATAGGGGTGGGGGGAAGCATGGGAGGAATGGAGGAACTTTAGATATGGCAAAGGGGAGGGAGGGGAAGGAAGGGGGAATGAATGGACATCAAAAAAAAAAAAAAAAAAGTAATGGACATCATTACCCTAAGTACATGTATGAAGACATGAATGTTATGACTCTACCTTGTGTACAACAAGAGACATGAAAAATTGTGCCCTGTGTGTATTTTGAATTGAAATGCATTCTGCTGTCATGTATAACAAATTAGAATAAATAAGTAAATTTTAAAAAATAGTACTGGAAAAAAAATAGGACTGGGGATGTGGCTCAGTGGTTGAGTGCCCCTGGGTTCAATCTCCAGTATCCCCCCCCAAAAAAAAATTATTAGTTTTACAGAATTTCACTTCTATTTCAGATATGATCTTATTGCAACATTTGGCTTAAGAAAAGCTTTTATCTGGGTTGGGGATTTAGCTCAGTGGTGGAGAACTTGCCTCGTACCTGTGAAGCACTGGGTTCTATCAATAGCACCACATAAAAATAATACATAAAATAAAGGTATTGTGTCCCTCTACAACTAAAACCAAACAAACAAGCAAAAAGCTTTTTTGTTTTGTTTTGTTTTTTTAACCCATGGATGCTCAACCACTGAGCCACATCCCCAGCCTTTTTATATTTTATTTAGAAAACAGGGTCTCCCTGAGTTGCTTAGGGCCTCACTAAGTCACTAAGCCCAAGCTGCTGGGCTTACAGGTGTGTAGTGTACTACCGCACCCAGCTGGCTCTCTTTGCTTTCTGTGGTATTAGAAAAATCCAGATTTCTTTCTGTATCCACATTTCTATTATACATTTATAAAAAATGTTGGATTTTTACTTATGGGGGGGGCAGTACTGGGATTGAACTCAGGGGCACTTGACCACTGAGCCACATCCCCAGCCTTATTTTGTATTTTATTTATTTAAAGACAGGTTCTCACTGGGTTGCTTAGCACCTCGCTTTTGCCGAGGCTGGCTTTAACTTGTGATCCTCCTGCCTGCCTTAGTCTCCCAAGCCACTGGGATTACCGGTGTGCACCACCGTGCCCAGCTTGGATTTTTAAATTAATGTTTTATTTAATATACATAAATTGAATTGAATTGAATTTTATGAAGTTTTAGGTATGAATACATTTACTTTTTTGAAAAATAATCATTTCCACTCTCTCTTCCTTTCCCCTATAGTTGAATGTGTACAGTAAATGGATTTCTTTGCTAATATGCTTGTCATTTTGCTGTTAAGATTATTTAGTACTCCTGTCACTTCTCCTTACCCACACCTGCATCCCTTCCAAGAAAAGCATGATGCTTAACATCAAGATGACAGGCTTCACAAGTACTTATCAAATTAGATTGGGAAAATGTCAAGTGGAATTATTACCTGCCTTGTGATACCATATTCCCTTAAGCTAAAATCATTTGCTGATAATAGATTCTAGGTTCACTGAGGAGAAACATCTTTAAAAGATGAAATTATTTTACATAGTTGTGCTTAAATGGAGATGCTAACTGTGTTTAAACTTATTTTCCTAGCATCTCTTCGCTGGATGTCATCTAACAAATTCCCTGGAACATCTGGATCCAATATGATTTATTATCTGGTTGTAGGTGTCACAGTCAGTGCTGGTGGCTATTATGTAAGTGTTTAACTGTTGTGTTCAGAAATTCATATATTTTACAACTTGTAAAGCTCAAAGCAATGTTGCAATCAGGACATTCGATATTAAATATACAACAGAGAAATAGGTTTAAATGTCATTAAGCATACACATTTGAAAAATACTCTATAGTCATTATAAATATAAAATTTCCATAAAAATGTATTAACTAAATTATTATCATTTTTTTTATACTACTGGGGGTTGAACCCAGGGGTGCTGTAGAATTGAGCAACATCCCCAGCCCTTTTAATTTTTTTATTTTGGGGCAGGGTCACTAATTTCATCGAGCCTATTGGTACACCTAGGATTAAAAACAGTGTTATTATAAATGCTAATGATAATAGTTGACAATTGAGTATTTATCATTTGCCAAACTCATAAATCCTTTAATAGCTTCAATTATAGATACTAGATACTATTATTAATAATAGATACTATTATTCCTGTTTAACAAGAATTGTTTTGGGCCGGGGCAGTGGCCAACACTTGTAATCCTAGCAACTTGGGAGGCTGAAAACAGGAGGATGGCAAATTCAAGGGCAGCCTCAGCAACTTAGCTAGGCTCTCAACAATTTAGTAAGACCCTGTCTCAAAATAAAAATAAAAAGGGCTAGAGATGTCACTCAGGAGTAAAGTGCCCCTGGGTTAAATCCTTAGTACCAAAAAAAAAAAAATGTTTTGAAGATATACTCATTTTATTTTTTTAATTTAATTTTTACTTATTTTTTAGTAGTGCTGAGGATGGAACCAGGGCCTCGCCATGTTAACTAAAGCTTTCTCCCACTAGTTACTCCTCCAGTCCAACTAACTTTAAAAATAATAGACTTTTATTTATTAGATTTATAGAAAAATGAGCAAGGAGTTGTGGGTATAGCTCAATGACAGAACACTTGCCTAGTATGTATAGAGCCCTGGGTTCCATCCCCAGCACCAAGGAAAAAAAAAAAGCAGAAACTGTTGAAAAATTCCCTAACCTTCTCTTCCTTTCCCCTATTCACATTTTGCTCTGGTGTGGTACATCGGTTACAATTAAGGAGCCAATATTGATACATGATTATTAACTCAAGTCCAGAAATTACATTAGGGTTCACTTTATTTATTGATTTATTTATTGTACCAGGAATTGAACCTAAGCGTGCTTAACCACTGAGCCACATCTCCAGCCCTTTTTATTGTTTATTTATTTATTTATGGTACCAGGGATTAAACTCAGGGTCATTCCACCAGCCTTATTTTGTATTTTATTTAGAGACAGGGTCTCATTGAGTTGCTTAGCATCTCACTTTGGTTGAGGCTGGCTTTGAACTCACGATCCTCCTGCCTCAGCCTCCTGAGCTGCTGGGATTACAAACATGTGCCACCAAGCCCAGCTTATTTTTTTATTCTGAGACAGAGTCTTACTAAGTTGCTTGGAGCCTTGCTAAGTTGATGAGTCTGGCTTTGAACTTGTGATCCTCCTTCCTCAGCCTCCCATACTGCTGGGATTACAGAAGTGTACTGCCGCAACCAGTTTAGGATTCAGTCTTTACATTGTATGTCCTGTGGGTTTTGACAAATATATAATGACTCTACCACCTTTGGCAGTGTCATGCATACTAGTTTCACTTCCTTAAAAATCTTGTATTCCACTTATCCATCCCTTTCTCCTTCCTTCCAAAATTTTTACTGTTTCTATAATTTCTGTTTTCTTTTTACATAGTTTTATTTTAAAAAGTCATATTCACATGCCAGGCACGGTGGCGCATGCCTGTAATCCCAGTACCCCCCCCCCAAAAAAAAAGTCATATTCATAATTTGTTAAAAATTCAGAAGAAGCATATGTAAAATTCTATCTATATTTTCCTCCCCAGTCCTCCATCCACACCTTCCAGGATTCACTGGAAGACAAAAGTCTTGGTTTTTTGTTTGTTTGTTTGTTTTTAGTGCTAGGGCCTGCACATGCTAAGTACATGCTCTTATCACTGAGATACATCTCTGGTCCCAGGATAAAGCTTTTAAGTGTAGTTCTGGAGCTAAAACAACAGAACATTTGAATTAAATAAGGTAAGCCTATTGAATCCTTTCCCATTTTGTCATAAATTTTCTAAATCAAAAATCTAACAAATAGGGGCTGGGATGTGGCTCAAGCGGTAGCGCGCTCGCCTGGCATGCGTGCGGCCCGGGTTCGATCCTCAGCACCACATACAAACAAAGATGTTGTGTCCGCCAAATACTAAAAAATAAATATTAAAAAATTCTCTCTCTCTCTACCTCTATCTCTCTCACTCTCTCTTTAAAAAAAAAAAAAAATCTAACAAATAAAAAAAATCTGATGTTTATTGTGAAGAAAAATAGAATAAGCATAAATTCTTCAGAAATCCTTAAAGTATGCAATCACTATATTTTGGGTTGACCCTACAGAGATTTGCATAAGGGATTTTTAGTCATAGTTAGGAGCCATTTTTATAGGACTATGTAGGATAGCCAAACCAAAATTTTAACCTTCAGATTTTTTTATATTTATTTTTTAGCTGTAGTTGGACACAGTACCTTTGTTTTATTTATTTTTATGTGGTGCTGAGAATTGAACCCAGGACCTCGCATGTGCTAGATGAGCACTCTACCGCTGAGCCACAACCCCAGCCCCCCCCCCCTTTTTTAATACTGTGGGCTGAACTCAGGGATGCTTTACCACTGAGCTATGTTCCCAGTCTTTTTTTTTTTTTTTTTTTTTTGAGACAAGATCTTGCTAAGTTTCTTAGGGCCTCACTAAGTTGCTAAGGCTGACCTCAAACTTGTGATCCTCCTGCCTCAGCCTCCTGAGTAGCTCGGATTACAGGCTTTTGTACCACCATACCAGACTAAACTTCAGAATTGTGACAGCCTCAATTAGTCAGGAAACTTCAAACATGTCATTGGTATCTGCCAGCTTTCACTCAAACCCATATTCCTTTTCTTCTATCATATTTCTGCTGCTTGATGTTGAGTTCATTGCCTAGGCCACTCTAGTTGAATGTAAACCCTGAAAAAACAAATTAGGACTAGGCCATGTGATGGATGACCTGGGAATTTGGAAGACTAAATTTCATCTGGCTATCACAATTCTAATTATATGAATCGGTGCCAGATATGAGCCTCTTTAGTCTGCTAATTCTTTCTTTGCAAAAGGAATCTTAAACTGAGCCGGGTGTGGTAGTACACAACTGTGATCCCAGTGGCTCAGGAGACTAAGGCAGGAGGATTGCAAGTTCAAAGCCAGCCTCAGCAAAAGCGAGGTGCTAAGCAACTCAGTGAGACCCTGTCTCTAAATAAAATACAAAAAAAAAATAGGTCTGAGGCTGGGGCTGGGGCTCAGTAGTAGAGCACTTGCCTAGCATGAGTGAGGCACTGGGTTCGATTCTCAGCACTGCATATAAATAAATGAATAAAATAAAGGTCCATCAACATCTAAAAATTATTTGTAAAAAATAGGGCTGGTGATGTGGCTTAGTGGTCTAGGCCCTTAAATTCAATCTCCAGTACCCCCCCCCACCAAAAAATATGAATCTTAAACTGAAAGGTTATAGGGCTGGGGATGTGTCTCAGTTGGCAAAAAAAAAAAAAAAAAAAAAAACCCTGAAAGGTTATCAACTGAATAGTCCTGAGAGCCCTCTGCAGCCTCATTCTCTCAAAATGGAATGAAAATTGAACAAGATGATGATCTATGTCCCCTTTCGTATCTGAGATTATGTAGGTTTTTTTAGTTGTTAATAGATCTTTATTTTATTCATTTATTGATATGCAGTGCTGAGAATCAAAGCCAGTGCCCTCACTTATGCTAATCAAGCATTCTACCACTGAGCCACAACCCCAGCCCTAGTTTTATTTATTTATTTACTTTAATATTTATTTTTAAATTTTAGGTGGACACAATATCTTTATTTTACATTTATGTGGTGCTGAGGATTGAACCCAGTGCCTCATGCATGCTAGGCAAGCCCTCTACCTCTGAGCCCCAACCCCAACCCCCTATTTATTTTTTAACAGAAAGTCAGAGATACTTTATTTTTACTTCAAAATCCAAAGGCTGAGTATAGCAGAGTTGTAAAAATGGAATCCCACTAAGTCTGATTCACGCAAATACTAATGTTTAATGAGGTTCTTTCATTTGAATATCAAACCTTAAAAGCCTTAATTCCCAAGAATCTTAGGCTACTTTTAGGAATCACAGAATGTGAAGCACTGCAAAATCTGTATTCTAGTCCTCCCTTCTCTTTCACTTTTCCTGCACTAAAATGATTCTGTAGCAGGGTTTTGCAAATTGATCCGTGGATGCTCAGTAGCCAAGAGCACTTTTCCATTTCCAAGGAAAATGTTCTACTGTTAGGGCTCCTTAGATATAAAATAGGCCCAGATCAGTTCAATTTTCTGAGGGTCCAAGGGTATTTCTAACAAGAACACCAGCTGGGCATGATTGTGCACACCTGTAATCCCAGTAACTTTAGAGACTGGGACAGGAAGATCACAAATTCAAGGCCATTAGCAATTTAGCGAGACCCTTAGCAACACAGTAAGACCCTTTCTGAAAGTAAAAAGGATGTGGGTGCAGTGGCATCTGCCTGTGATCCCAGTGGCTCTGGAGGCTGAGGCAGGAGGATCGCAAATTCAAAGCCAGCCTCAGGAGCCTGGAGTTGTAGCTAAGGGGTAGAGCACTTACCTACCACTTGAGGTACTGGGTTCAATTCTTAGCACCACATAAAAATAAATAAATATAAAGGTATTGTGTCCATCTACAATTTAAAACATATTAACACAAAACAAAAAAACAACATCAGCAATTTAGAGAGGCCCTAAGCAACTTACAGAGACCTTGTCTCTAAATAAAATATAAAAAAATGGATGATGTTTGTATTAATTAATAAAAATAAAATGCTAGCTTCCTGATTATTAAAATTTAGAAAATATATATGAATATACAACTTTTAAAAATTCATCATTCTACCACTAAGAGTTAAATCACTACCAAAAAAGCTGAGACAATACAAATAATATTATCTAAATAATAAGATTTTCATTTTTATTTATTAATTTATTGTTGGTGCTGAGGATTAAATCCAGGCCTTAATGTACTAAGTACGTACTCTACCATTCTTGTACCCCAGCACTAATATTCTTTTTTCTTTTTTTGTTTTGTTTTTGTTTTTTGGAGTACCAGGGATTGAACCCAGGGGCCCTTTACCACCGAGCCACATCCCCAGCCCTTTTTATATTTTATTTAGAAACAGGGTTTTCTGAGTTGTCTAGGGCCTGCTACATTGTTGAGGCTGGTTTTGAACTCATGATCCTCCTGTCTCAGCTTCCAAGTTGCTGGGATACAGGCATGCATCAGATTTTCTTCTTTTCTCTGCTTCTTTCTTTTTTTCTTTTTCTTTCTTTCCTTCTTCTTTCTTTCTTTTTTTGTTTTTGTTTTTTGTTTGTTTTGTTTTGTTTTTTGAGAAGGGATCTCACTATGTTCAGGCTAGGCTGGCCTCAAACCCTTGATCCTCCTGACTCAGTCTCCCAAGTAGCTGGGATTACGGGCATGCACCACTATTCCTGGTTAGATTTTTATTTTTAGAATATCATTGCCTAATGTGAAGACAGGCCAAAGAAGACTCGTGAATATGAAATGAAAGAAAGCCTGCACATTTTGTCTATAATTAAGATAATTTTCTGCCCCATATTATTTCTCCACTAACTTACAGTCAGCTAGTGTTGCTGACTCACCTTAGCCTACCTAAGAAATCTTCTTTAGGATGTAGCTGTGTGGTGTGTCATTTGGGAGATTTTTTTTTAAAAAAAATTCATTGTGAGACAAGTAAGATTCACATGCAGTTCTCTCTACCTTTTACCTCATTTTCCCCAATGATAATCTTTTTGCTATAATGCAACATCACCATCAGGAAAGTGACATTTATACCACTCATCCTTCTTAATCCAATTTCACTAGTTTTACATGCACCCATTAAATTCTATGCAGTTTTATCCTGTCTAGATGGATAGATTTGTCACCACTGCCCAGATGCAGGATAGTTCCAATACTATAAGTATCTTTCATGCTACCTTTTTATAATTCTCTCCCTTCTGCCCTCCCTTTCTCCTAACCCCTGGCAACCACTAATCTCTTCTCTATTTCTATATTTTTGTCATTTCAAGAATGCTATCTAAATGGATCCACAGGTATGGAACCTTTTGAGAGTGGCCTTTTTCCCACTCAGTGTAGTTGCCTGGAGATTCATTGGAACTGTCACTTGTACCCACTGTTCATTCCTTTTTGCTGCTGAGTTGTGTTCCTTGTTACAGAAAGACCACAGCTGGTTTAATAGTTCATCCTTTGTAGACCATCTGAGCTGATTCTCGTTATTTGACCATTATAAATGAAACCACCACGAATACTTGTATGTGAGTTTCTGCATGAACCTGGATTTACCTTTGTCCATGATAAGTTCTGGAGGATGTTTGTAAATGTCTGTGAGGATATTTTGGTTCTGTCATAATTTATGTTTTCTTTGTCTTGATCTTCTTGTTTCCTGTGCATGTTTTCAGCTGTCTTTGACTCATGTTAGAGCATGTTCCTTTCCTTTCCTTTTTTAAGCATTCCACTTAATGACAAAAGTGTCCAAAGGAGAAGTAAAAGAGTAAATGGTAAAGTTGGTTTCCCTTCTTGGCTGCACTGGGATTGTAGCTTAAACTTCTTATGGCAACTACATGGAGAACTGTGTGTACCTTTGAACTTGGCAAGAGTTTAAGAAATAAACTAAGGCTGGGCATGGTAGTGCATACCTGTAATCCCAGGAACTCAGGAGGCTGAAAAGGAGGATCGCAAGTTCAAAGCCAGCCTTAGCAATTTGGCAAGGCCCTAAGCAATTTAATGAGATTCTGTCTCAAAATAAAAAGGGCTGGGGCTGGGGTCTGCGGATATAGCTCAGTTGGTAGAGTGCTTCCTAGCATGCACAAGGCCCTGGGTTCAATCCCCAGCATGATTGAAAAAAAAAAAAAAAAGGAGGAGGGTGTTGTGGATGTAGCTCAATGACAGTTCAGTCCCCAGTACCCCCACAAAAAGGAAGTAAAATTAAGGACACATTTTCTTTCAGACTTACAAGACAGTCACGTCAAAGCAAGCCAAACACACAGAACATATAACAAATTTGAATGAAAAAACAAAAGCAGAGTTACATCCACTTCAAGGTAAGGGGACTTTCTTAATTATTTTATTTATTTATTTGTTTGTTTATTTTTGAGACACTGATTCCCATCCTCTTAGTCTAGCAATGAACTAGACTATTTGCCTTTGTCTTCTTGGCTAACTTAATCCAGAATGGCTCTTCGTAGGAATTCATTCAGGAAGGAAAAGCCCAACCAAAATCTAAAGAATATTCTTAGGCGTTTTGGATGAGTGCATTTGATAAATGAACATTTTGCATTTATGCTGCTGACCATGGCTTTGACATCTTTGTGTGGTAATATTATTTCTCTCCTACTCAGACATCCATTCATGCGGGCATAATTTTAGAATCTGTCTCTCTCAGCAGCTTGACCTTTCGTTTCCCTCATTTTTTTTTTTAAATCATAAGGTTAATTTTTATTTCTTTTTTGACTAAGACCTCCTGTGTCTTTGCTTTTGAAAGTATACTGGCCATTAGAGTTGGGTACACTGAGCCCCTCCGTTGATAAAAATGTCAACCCTGGGGACAGAAACTTGACATTTTCACCCTTATGTCTATTTTTTGCCTACAACTACTTACTTTTTTTAAAAAAAAATTTTAGATACAGATGGACATAATACCTTTTCTTAATTAATTTATTTTTATGTGGTACTGAGGACTAAACCCAGTGCTCACATATGGGAGGCAAACACTCTACCACTGAGCCACAATCGCAGCCCCTTCAACTACTTACTTTAAAATAGTTTTTTTCCATCTCAATGTTAATGCCATTATCAATTGCCATGGTCACTATTTAGGGACGGAGATACTGGCTACTCATGAATCAGTTTACCCTTTTCATCATGACAACAATAAGAGACGGAATATCACTGATAAATGTTATTGAATAGAATCATGAGAAGTCTGTTTATAATAATATTATCATTACAAATATTATTATTAATATTATTAATACAGCATCTGTGTAACACTTTATTGGCTTGAAGGCCCATTTTATATAGATTATTTTAGTTAATCTTCACAATAGCCTTGTGAAGTAAATATTATCAGTATTCTTATTTTACAGATGATTAAGCTGAAGTTGAGAGAAGATTAGTGGTTTCCTCAGGGTCGTCAGCTAGCACCTTGGCCACTCTTCCATACCATCTCACAAATGGTGGTTATTTGTTAGTATTAGTGTTTGAATAAGTAATATATGCACATTTTTTAAGTTCAAAAGAGTTTATAAGAAAGCATATCTCTCATCTTCCCTCCCAAAAGGCAACTGATATTATCAGTTTCTTTGAATCCCTGTGACAGTCTTTGCAAATACAGCCCTCTGGCTATATAACACCCCTTTTTGTCCATACTGTATACATTGTTCTTTCCTTGATTTTTCCTTTTAAGTCCACTTGGAAGACCATTAAATATCAGCACATGTAGATTTGACTCAGTTTTTTAAATGATTGCACAGTGTACAATTGCGTCCCATGTTCTTTAAATTAACACTCTGCTTAATGGACTAAATCTTAAAGGTGAAAAAGAGAATGTGGCAGAAGTTGAGAAAGCGAGTTCAGAAGCTCTGGAAGTTTCTGTTGTGCAAGCTGAGGTGGTAGGTGCTGAAGACATTGCAGAGGCTGCAGTTGGGGACGTAGAAGAGTCCACGGGTCCCAGTGGTGTGGAGGCCACTAAGGAGGAGGTGACGGCTGTGGGTGCTGAAACGGAGCCCAAGGTTACAAGTGCGCAGATGGGTGACACCACAGAGGATGGTTCTGAAATGACCCCAGAGGCTACGAATGTAGCAGCAGGTGAAGGCATTTCCACCTGTAACAATCAAGGTATTCCAGAGAATGACTGCTCCCAGGAATGTGCTGAGCCGGAAGGAACTTCTCCAGCTGATTCCCAGTCCTCTGCTGGGCATTTGCAGGAAGAAGCTGACGCTGGTTCCCAGGCTGCCTCAGGCTAATCTCCTGCCAGTAGCCGGTTCTGCAAAAAACAAAAAACGTAATAGTGTGTCTAATAGCTGCCTTTGTATTTTTAGTAATTTTGGTTTTGAAAAGACATCTTCCTAAAACAGTTCGATGATCCCTGAAGATTTTTGGTATCTTCTGGTAGAGTTTTGAGAGATTTCCAATTTTACATTTCTTAATTATTTTCTACTCTCTAAAATTAGATCATGACATTGCAGTAAAGAGTTTATAGTTTTAGCTGGGTACAGTGGCACACGCCTGTGATCCTAGCAGCTTCAGAGGCTGAGGCAAGGAGGCTCACAAGATCCAGGCCAGCATCAGCAACTTAGTGAGATCCTGACTTAAAAGAAAAATTTAAAAGGGCTGGGGATGTGGCTCAGTGGTTGAGCACCCCTGGGTTCTATTCCTGGTACCAAAAAAAAAAAACAAAAACAAAAAAAACAAAAAACAGCTGAAATAGTTTTACCTTGAATTTAAATTTTGCATTATAGAAATTATCTCTATATCTTGTTTTCACTTTAATTTTGCTCTTTTTGCTCTGCTTTTACCTTTATTATGTAGAACTGGATTATCAAGCTCAATTTGAACTCATTTAAATAAAATTAGAAAATCTTTAGTGTTTCTATTTTTATTCACTAATACTTATATAGGTATAAATAATACACTGTATTATATATTAACATATACACATGAAGAAATTAAGCTTTCATAATATGATTGAAGAAGGGACATATTTGTGGAGAATTGTGCCTATGATAATGTATATGCCTTCCCCCCTCTCTATTAATATATAACAGGCTGTGCAGATATTTCCTGGTTCAATTCAAACAATATTTTTTGAGGACTTACACTTTGTGCTGGGAGTCATTCATTCATTCATTCATTCATCTGAGCACCTACAACCAACAGAGGCACTGTTTTAAATCTTCCTCACTATATATTGTAGAGTAGGACTAGATAGTAAACAAGATAAATAAGGAAACTGTAAGAATGTTAGAAACTGGCAAGTGCCTAAGGTAAAAGTAATGAAGAAAAAAAGGATTATAAGTACTGGTTTGGGGTGGAAGTTGTCATTTAAAAAAAAAATTAATTTTTTTAGTTTTTGATGGACACGATACCTTTATTTTATTTATTCATTTATTTTTTATGTGGTGCTGAGGATCCAACCCAGGGCCTCTCACGTGGTAGCCAAGCGCTCTACTGCTGAGCCGTTACCCCAGCCCCAAAGTTGTCATTTAAATAGAGCAGCCAGAGCAAGTCTTACTAGGAAGGTGTGTTTTAAGTAAAGATCAGAAGACTACATCAGGGACCTCATTACCAGGACCTCGGCAGGGAAGATCATTCCACGTGAGGGAATGGACATGTGCAAAGGATCTGCAGCAGGAGCATGCTGAAGAATTTGAGGAATTGCAAAGTGACCCGTGTGGCTGAGGTGGAGTGACAGGGAGAGTAGTTGGAGATGATCTCAGAGGGAAGGAGATGGGGGCCCGGATGAGCTAGGTCATGTGGAGTTATGCAAGATTTTGGATATTGGAAATCAATAAATTGGGAAATCATAGTGGACACTGCCAGTGCTCTGTCTGGATCCCCTTAACTGGGTGCATTTACCCCCAGCTGTTATGTTACTCCCCACCCCTACCCACCCTTCACCCCAGGCAGCTCATCACCAAACACTGACAAGCACTGTGGTACTAAAGGTGGGGCCAACTCTGCAGTACAAACTCAGAGCTCCCCATGGTCAGGTTGAAGCTAGTCTCCAGCTGAGATCACATCCTCCTTGAGCACCACCACCCCCACCCTGTGGCATACATCCTTTCTTCCTATCTGTTCTACTGAGAGCATTCCTACATAAACCACTTGGCCAAGAATCCGTTTCCAGGGAGCTTAGCATAACTGGATATGGTCCTGGGAGGCAGATGTCAGAAAGGCCCCTGGAGTTGTCACTCTCCATCTGGATGCAATGAGGATCCCTCACTGGTGGTCAGTGCAGGATTGCTGGTCCCTGGCAATCTGCAGCAATGTGATTACTAAGCTTTTCAACAATGGTAAACTGAGGCAGGATACAGGTGAAATGTTATTACTGAATAGCCTAACATCCCAGAGAGCTGAGAGGTATAGAAAAACATAACCATAAGCACTTAATCATGTTTTTTTTAAGAGAGAGGTGAGAGAGAGAAAGAGACAGAGAGAATTTTTAATATTTATTTTTTAGTTTTTGGCGGACACAACATCTTTGTATGTGGTGCTGAGGATCGAACCCAGGCCGCACAGATGCCAGGCGAGCGCGTTACCGCTTGAGCCACATCCCCAGCCCCACTTAATCATGTTTTGAGGTATAGGATGGTACCTTGATTTGTCCCAATATCAACTCTGCATTGGATTCCCAAGTTCAAGGCCTATGGCGCAACTGAAGGGATGCTGCTTTACTGGACGCTCTGAAGATGGGGCAGAAGCACTCCCAGCTCTGCCCTCACTGACCTGATGCACACAGCACACACACAGGCATTCTTCCCACTGTTCTGGTTTGGAGAGTTTCTACTGCAAATAACAGAAGCCAGTTCAAAACGGATTAAACAACAGAGAGTTCTTATATAACCAGATATCCAGGGTGGGTTTATTCTTCCGTGACTCAATCAAGAACCAGGTCATGTATAACTAAAAAGAACAACAACAAAAAAAATAAATAAATAAAGGAAAGAAAGAATGGGAAAAAAAAAAAAACAGGTCATCTGTGATCCTTCTCTACAATCAAGAATGTTCAGGCTTTAACCTTGGCCAACTTTCCTCATCATCACAAAATGAATCACCACATTCAAGGTATTTTATTCTGCAAAAAAAGAAGAAGAAGAAGAAGAAGCTTCTTCATCTTAAAAAAAAAAAAAAAAAGCTTAAATACAGTCTTTTTTAGTGGTCAGTGGACCTTTATTTATTTATTTATTTATATGCAGTGCTGAGAATGAAACCAAACCCAGTGCCTACACATGCTAGGCAAGTGCTCTACCTCTGAGCCACAACCCCAGACCCCAGTCTTTTATTTTTTAACATTTTTTAAAAATTCAGTTAGTTAGTTAGTTAGTTAGTTAGTTGTAGATGAGCACAAGACCTTTGCTTTATTTATGCATTTATTTTTTATGTGGTGCTGAGGATTGAACTCAGTGCCTCACGCGTGCCAGACAAGCACGCTATCCCTGAGCCACAACCCCAGCCCTTAACATTTCTGTTGTACAAAATTTCAAACAAAAGTAGAGAGAACAGGATAGTGAGTCTTCATGTGCCCTAAACCATGAAGTCGGAGTAGTGTGTTCAACAGTGAAATGTAGTTAAAAGATCATAAGGCAACAAAACTTGACTTTGACTTGGTTACTCTTTTTTTTTTTTTTTTTAAGCTTTAGCACTATTACTTTTTCACATTTCTCAACAGGGTTGAAGAAAAAAACTAGCTATGCCTAGCAGACCAGAATTTGTCTGGCTTAGCCTCCTGGCCAATCTGAAATTCTTCTCTGAACTGATAAATGCCAAAATGTGACTGCATACAAACAAATTTTTTTTTCTTTTAAAAATTCAGTATTGGGCTGGGTTGTGGCTCAGAGGTAGAGTGCTTGCCTAGCATACCTGAGGCACTGGGTCCGATCCTCAGCACCACATAAAAATAAAATATATTGTGTCCACCTATAACTAAAAAATAAATATTTTTTTAAATTCAATATTTATTTAATAACTTTTTTTTTCTTGGTACAGGAAACTGAACTCAGGGGTGCTTAAGCTCTGAGGCACATCCCCAGTCCTTTTTATTTTTTAGCTAAATTGCTGAGACTGGCTATGACCTTGCAATCCTCTGCTTCAGCTTCTTGAGTCACTGGGATTGTAGGCATGCACCACCATGCCCAGCCTAAAACCATCTTTTGAAGTAGTAGCTATCAAGTCCAAACTCAACTTGTCTAATGAAACTTTTTTAAAATTTAACAACCAAGGTAGGAAAAGTTGAACAACAGCATCCCACAAGCAATATCTTTATCATTAGAATTTTGACTGATTTTAATAACAATACACTGAAAAAGTCGGAGCAGGACAAATAGAGGTCTAGAATGTGAAGCATATTGCAAAAGATAAAAATTGCTAGTGGAGTCAGATAGGCAAGATATTTCTCTTTAATGCAAGCAAGGGATACAAAGGAAGAATAAGTTTGAAAAATGCAACAGCGCTCACCTAGCATGGGCGGGACCCAGGTTTGATCCTCAGCACCACATAAAGATGAGTGCATTGTGTTGTGTCCATCTACACTTATAAAAAATAAATATTAAAAAAATGTTTAAAAAAAAAGAAAATAATACAGTCTTAAGTAATGGGGACAGTCTTGAGTAATGGATCTGAGACAATTATTTTTGTCCATTTTTTTTTTTAAATAAGAAACTTCTATCAGAAAGTACAGTATATTCCACAACCAGCTTTTGAGAATTCAAGCTGAATTCAGGGAAGATTGGATTCTGAATAAGTTAGTTTCTGGAACAACTATTTGTCCTGTCATAACATCCATTGATATACAGCTACCTGTCCATTTTAATAAAGCACACTACATAACGTTTTTCCTCAGTTAAAATAAAGAAATTTCTAGAAAAATATTATTTAACCTTTAGGGTATTTTTGTGAACAAGTTGGAAGAATTTTGAATTTCTCAGATATATTATAATTCCAAATAATCATTGCTCAATTAAAAATCAACCTAATATAAAACTTTTTATTTCTGGAATTTTTTTTCTGTTTTTTTTTTCTTTTATTGGTGCATTATAATTACACATAATAGTGAGATTCATTATGCTGTATTTGTGCACGTACATAACATCACTGGAGCAATCTCATTCCCCAGTTCCTTCCCTCCCTGATCCACTTGCTTTACTTCACTGATTTCCCTTCTATTATTATTATTATTATTATTATTATTATTATTATTATTATTATTTTAATTAGTGCATTATAATTTTACATAAAATCAGGATTCATTGTGGTGTACACATACATGGACACACCATAGTTGGTAGATTTCTCCCCAGTAGTTCCCCAACCCTCCCCTCCTCCTCCCTCTCCATCCCTCTCCTGTACTCTATTGGTTTCCCTTTTATTTTCATGAAATCCCTTTCTTATTTCTGTTTTGAAATAGCTTTTTAGATGTTGATGAATCTTTATTTTATTCATTTATTTATTTGCGGTGCTGAGAATCGAACACAGTACCTCACATATGCTAGGTAAGCATTCTGCCCCTGAGCCACAATCCCAGCCCCCTTTCTTATTTCTCTCTTCCTCTCTCCCTCTCTCTCTCTCTCTCCCTCTCCCTCTCTCCCTCTCTCCCTCTCCATCTATTCCTCTCTCCGCTCCCTCTTCCTGAGTGCATGCTTCCCCTTATGACAGAATACATCTTACCCTAGACATTCCGAGTCTGGATTATTTCACTTAGCATGATGGTCTCCAGATCCATCCATTTACTGACAAATGTCATAATTTCATTCTTCTTTATGGCTGAGTAATATTCCATTGTATACATATACCACATTTTCTTTATCCATTCATCTGTTGACAGGCACCTGGGCTGTTGTGAATTGCACTGCTATAAACGTTGGTGTG